TATACCGCTAAGGCCAACAACGTTTAGTTTTCAGTATTGTTGAGTTCTACTTGAGGAGGTTTAATTGATTTGTACCCTTAGCACGAATCATTATCGAATTCGTAACGTTTGCAAGTCCGAAATGTGATTGTCAAATGTGTATTGATTTTTAGTTCTTGTTACGTACTTTGTGGCGCTGCTGTTCAAGTTTCCATACAAAATTTGACATTGACATTTCGCACTCGAAAACTGTTAGAATTCGATCTTGGTTCGTGCTAAGGGTACTGTACTTTTTTTTTTTTTTTTGTTTCCTCCCAGGCGGGGGAGAGGGTGAGAAATCCTCATGGATACCCTACAGCCGGCTGTAAGGTTATGTCAGACTCTTACTGACTAAAAAACACCCTTTATTCATGCTTATGGCCAGAAGGGCCTTACAAGCTTCATCTGAAGCGATCACCCCCCGAGAAGGGGATGATGCGGCGCTGCGTTAGTTTAAACTAGTGCATAGTTTAAAATAACGCAAAATGCGCTTAGAGGACAAGTGCACTCAGATGTGCACTTGAAACGGGAGGGGACTGAGAGGAATCGAACCTCTCTGTGTCGGGGGGGGCGGGGGGGACTCACCGCGGGTGTTGGATCCTCAGCGGCCAAGAGGGCCGCGAGATCGCGCGTGAGTTTATTGTGTGTGGCTGTGAGTGCGTGTTTCGGCCTGCGGGGCCTGAATCGAGATGGAGTGTGTGGAGCGTATCCCGACGCCGATCTAATGAGTGTGTTAGAGTGCTCTTCTGCAGCTTTGAAGAACCGTTCCGAGCACTCTGTGAGGTGTGTTTGAATTGTGTCGAGTTGAAGGTCCCTGTGGAGGTCCGCGTTGCGGACGTACCACGGGGCCCCTGTGGCTATGCGGCAGAAGCGATTTTGAAGCACTTGAAGTTTGTTCAAAATCGCTTCGTCCGCGTGTGCGAACACTGGTGACGCGTAAGTGAGGACCGGGCGTATGCAAACTTTGTAAAGCGTTCGCTTGTTACGAAGTGACATTTTGCTGTATTTACCGAGCATCGGGTGGAGGCGGCTCATATAAAAGCGCGCGTTCGCGACTACGCGTGTGATGTGTGCACGGAAGGTGAGTTTTTTGTCTAGTGTGATCCCTAGGTATTTGACTGTGCGGTGCCACGGTATTGCTATGCCTTGCATTCGCAGAGACCGCGCACCGTGTTGTATGGTTTTGGTGCGGCGCTTGGGATCGAAGCAAATGGCCGAACTTTTGTCCGGATTTACGTCGATTCTCCAATCGCGGAACCAATTCCCAAGTGTTGTGATTGCCGGTTGGAGCTTGGCTATGATTTGATTGGTACTGGCTCCCCTAGAGTAGAGGGCCGTGTCGTCCGCGAAGAGAGCGAGCTCGACACCCTTGGTCTGAGGGATGTCATTGGTGTACGCTGTGTATAGCAGGGGGGAGAGAGCGGACCCCTGCGGTACACCGGCTCGTAGTGGGCGGGGCGTTGATAGTGAACCTTCGTATCTATAGCGGAAGGTGCGGTTTGATAGAAAAGAGGCTACTAACCTAACTAGGCGGTCAGGTAACTCTAATTGATATAATTTAAAGATTAATCCGTCGTGCCAAACCTTATCGAAGGCTTTGGCGACGTCGAAGAAGACTGCAATAGTTTTATATTTATTAAGTTGGAAGCCGCTTAGGGCGTGCTCCACTATGCGATGGATCTGTTGGGGGCAGGAGTGTTTGGCTCTGAAGCCGAATTGGTGGTCAATGATAATAGGATCGGATGGTGATAGGAGGTGCTCTCTTAGTCTGGTCAGTATGGTTTTTTCGAAAAGTTTCGCCATTGCCTTGAGGAGGCTAATAGGGCGATGGCTACTGGGGAGGTGCGCGGGTTTTCCGGGTTTGGGGATGCCTATCACTATTGCTTCTTTCCAGGCGGCTGGGAAGTAGCACAGATCAAAACATGCGTTAAAGAGAATTGCAAGCAAGGTTAGCATTTGGATGGGAAAATGCTTGAGCGCCTTGTTAGAGATGCCGTCGGCGCCCGGGGCCTTGCGTTGCTTAAAGTTTCTAATGGTCTGTCTGAGTTCGTCTGTCGTGACGGGGTCTAGGGGGTTGTCAATGAGTGGAAGGGCGGCCCGCCGGCGGACCTCCTCCTCCACTCCGCGAATATGTTGCGGGTTAGTTTCCTGCGTACTAGGCGTGCATTGCGCCGCTATGCTGTCTGCAAAACACTCAGATTTTTCGTCGTCTTCGAAGGCGACGGTGCCGTCGGGGCGAGTGAGCGGGGGGGTGTGAGTGGTGACGTCGCTACGGAGCGCTTTCGCGATTCTATAGTACGCAAGATGGGATGGGGTAATGTCCGCCATGAGTTCCTCCCAACGGGAGTGTCTCAGAGCGGCTAATTGGGACTTAACTTGTCGCTGAAGGCGATTAGCTGTAGCCCTATACTCGGGGGTGGGGTATAATTTGGCTCTCCGGAGAGCGGCGTTTTTGGCTTGGATTAGGTTCCGGATGGCCAGCGGGAGCTTGGGCTTTGGCAGCTCAACCTCCCGCGAGTTCTCCTTCGCCTTCTCGGTCACCAGTAAAGTTAAAGACTCTATAGTTTCGTCAATCTTGTCGGTGCTGTCGAGACTGTCCGGTGAGTTAGGGAACGGGGACTCGGGGGAGTCTAAAGCGGTCTCGAGAGCGGAGCGGTATCCGTCCCAGTTGGTGAATAGCCTCTTAGGGGGCGCGGGGGCGTCTAGTGGATCTTGGGGACCTAGAACTAGAGACACCGGTCTGTGATCTGACCCCAGGTCGTCGAGTGTTTCGATCGAGCTGAGGCGAAGCGACACGTTTTTAAGGATCGCGAAGTCCAGGACGTCGGGTCGGTTTTGTACATTGTCTGGGTAGTGGGTGGGCGCGTAGGGACATATGACATCATAGCCAAGCTCCTCGGTGATGTGTAGTAATCTGCGGCCAGAGGTGGTGGTGGTCTCGCATGTCCAGTCGGTGTGTTTGGAGTTAAAGTCACCGAACATTATGACTGATGTACCTAGTGAAGTGAGTGTTTCGAAGTCTGCGCGGTGAGGGTGTGTACCTGATCTAATGTAGACTGAGGCGATGATTAAGGACTGGTGTCCTGTCATCGCCAGCCTACAGATGGTGGCTTCCATGTTTGTGAGCGCGGGAGTGGGTATAGGTGTGCAGTGTAAATTGCGTCTATAGTAAATTGCGGTGCCGCCGCGCGCGTTGGCACCGTCGTTCCGGATTAATTTATACTTAGGGATCGACAGCCCCTTCATTTGAGTTGGTTTGAGCCAAGTCTCCTGAAGGAGCAGAAAGTCGGGTTCCCTATCTTGCAAAAATAATTTAATTTCGTTAAGGTTGGACTTTAAGCTGCGCGTATTAAATGACACAAGCGAAGCGCCTTTCGGCTTGGTACGCCCGGGGTTTCGTTGAGTGATTGTTATGTTAGTGTTTTGCGCGGTCATAATTTAAACAACAGTGGTGTTTGTTTGAGTTATCACCGCGTGTTTTGTGTATAGTGTTTTTGTTTGTGTTCAGTGTCTGGTTATTTCCCAGTGTTATAATGATTAAAAAATTAATCGAACGCGGCAACGAGTTCGGGGTGTTCGGCTATAGCTATAGCCTTTTCAAGGGGTGTCTTTGCTAGCCGGAGCTTCGCGGCGAGAGTGTGGATCTCGGCGATATTCACCCTCTTGAGCGAGGAGCGAATAAGCGCCATGTCCTCGGCCAGAGAGACGTCTTGGGCTGGCTTAGCTTGTGTTGTTGGTGTGGTGTGTTGTGGTGGGTGTGGTTTTGGGCGGGCCCTGGCTGGTCCCCAGGCTGTCGGGGGCGCCGGGCTGCGAGGGGCGGCCGCCTTGGGTAGCCCCGGGAAGTTTGTGGTGGTGTTATTAGGTGGTGGTGGTGGGTGTGTTTTTGTCGCCGTGGTTGGCTTTGTGTGAGTGTGAGTGTTGGGTCTGGGGCGTGGGGCCCGCGGGCAACCCCTGTAATTGGCCGGGTGGCCTTCTTGGCCACAGAGCACGCATGCGGGTGCCCCGGGTGCGTCACGAGTGCGGGTGCACTCCTTAGTGAGGTGGGGTACGAGGCACTTGACGCACCTCGGGGCCGCCGAGCAGTTGGCTGCTGCGTGGCCATATAATTGGCACCTGTGGCATTGCCCAGGGGTGCCTCGCCGGTGTGGGGCCTCGACTTTGATATTGTCGAGGCCACAGACTGTGATGGGACCTTTAAAAATATCCCTAGCTGCCGGGACCGAGGTCAAAATGACAAGAGCCAACGGGTATTGCTTCCCAGTCCGGCTGTGCAACTTGTGCACTGCCTCGGCTGGGAAGCCTTTATCGGTTAAGTCGTTCAGAATGAGCTCGTTGGAGAGCTCGAAGGGGACTCCTCTGAGTACCGCGCGGACTTTGCGCTCCTCGGGGAGGGTACTGTACCCTTACCACGAACCTTTATCCAATATTTTTATACGATTTAGAGATACGTCAAATGTGTACTGCTTTTTAGTTCTCGTTACGTCCGTTGGGGCGCTGCTGTTCAAGTTTCCATACTAATTTTGACATTGACATTTCGCACTCGCAAACTATACGAATTTGTTAATGATTCTTGCTAAGGCTACTGTTGAAGTCTCTAAAGGCTTTTGAATTTTCCATTCCACTTTTTAAATAATAAGTGCTCTATGGTATTCTCCGAGGTATTCCTCGGTCCTCATTTTTATAAGACTAAACCTTTATTCATAAAAATATGTGAAGTAGCACAGACGTGAAAGCGTAACAGACAAAATGAAAGAGCTGTTTTTGTATTTAAATATATATATCAATTGCATTACTTATGTACTATTGTTTTGCTAACATTGGTTATTACCATGCATGGAAATTTTCTTAGTTATCATGTTAAATGTAATACTATGTTTCATAGATTCGTTTACTTACTTGTTTAACATTCAAGATAATAATATATTGTATGTGTTATTGTTTACAGATTGCTTGGAGATGGTCAGCTGTTGAATAGTGGGTACGGGAAGAGAAGAAACAGTAAATAGGTAGGTTTTTGAACGTTTAAACAATTATATTTCAGTTGGTACTTACTACATCTGTCACTCGTGGTTAAACATATATACATAAGTCTAAAGTATTATCGGAGTGATAATATTATATCCTGTTATTTTCGGATAACATTAATAGTCCAACCCAATGCTCGAACCGCATTAAGAGCAGTTGTTTGTGTTCTTTTAGGTATGTGCCTCGTAGTATTGCACCCCTGATTGTCTATCAACCTTACAGGTGCTGTATTTATACTATTGCCTGTCATAAACTGAAGCACTTATTAATCTAACAGGATACTCCGCCCGTCCATAAGGAAACCCTAACTATGTGCGTAATAACACTAACAAAATCGCCTTTTGTTTCCAGTAACAATGCCGCGTCTGGAACAACCGCCGACGGAGGACTTCCGCAGGGTGCTGCGCGAGAAAGCGTTGAGCCACAGTTTGTTCTACATGAAGCTCGGCGCGGGAGTCGCCGCCGAGCAGGCTCGCGAGCCGCGTCGCCCGACTAGCGCCAGTGCGAGCGCACGCGCGCCGCCGGCTGCCCGCCTTTCCCGCCAACCGCAGCCGCGCGTCTCCGAGCTCCTACGCCGTTTCGAGCCCGCCCCGATGCAGTATCTCCGGCCCCCGCGCGCCTCCTCCCCATCTGAAGATATCTCCTCGTCAGATGACGACGACAGGGCCGCCGTCAGGCGACGCAGCCGTGACCTGAGCGACGATTCTGCCGTTGAATTAGAAACCAGGAGGAGGCATTCCCATCCCAGAGACATCACGCCCCCACCTGACGCTATGTCTCCGAGAAGGGAGCGCACTTTGATCGAGGCCCACGTTGTGGAGCTGGGGAGGCGCGGAAGCGAGGGATGTGAAAAGAGGGGAAGGTGCGTGAGGACGCCCAGTGTGGTGGTCAGTGATTACTCTGATGGCACTGTGGCCGTTGGCGCCACCGAAGAGGAAGTCGACTGGCTCCGGTCCAGATCCCTGTCTGCTGACTCCGCGTGTTCCTCTTGCTCCACTTTGTCCAGTCGCGAGGATGACGAGTTCGAAACCCCCGTGCAGAAAAAGGTGAGTGTTAAATCACTTGTGTTTTATATCAACCATTAGTATTACTCTGGCTATGTTTGTTTGATTGTTTATATAGACCATATGTTGTGGTGCAAAGAAAATACACGCCCCTTTAAATTAACGCCTTCGAATGGTTTGTTTTTCATAAGAACAGTGTATTTACATTATAGGTAACAAGTTTATTTTGCTTTCCTTGAGTCAAGGTTGAATCGTCATGTACTCATTTACCTACGTAATTCAACCTATTACGCTTTTATAAAATAATTTATTGATTGAACCCTTACCCAAATGTTTGAAGGTGCAAAAACATACTTAAATCTTTTTGTTAACCAAAGCTTACAATGATTTATTCATAATAAATCAAATGTGAACACAAACAGACTATTATAAGTCCCTTAAACTGACACTATTTAAATTAATGGCTCAATAAATATTTAAATAATTTGTTGAAAATAATGTCAAGAATGTATGGTAAGACTTTTGCGTCACGATGCGACGCTCCTGCGTCATTGAGACACGATAAGTCGCCTGCCTACGTGAATTTCGCCATAGCATCTCATGCAAAAGTTATGCACAAACACGCATTATGGAATTGTACTCGAGTAGTGAATTAAACGCAGTTAAATTTGGTATACAAATAAGATAATATTTAAGATAAACAGATCAAATTTAGCGCTATCATACACAAATTCGATTTAGGAAGCTAATTCACTTAATTCAGAATGATTATGATTTAAAATGAGACGCTTCTGATTTGAATTCAGAGAGAATTCAAAGTGAGTTTGAAAAGTTTAGAAGCTTATTTAAAAGTCAATTCTTGTATTATTTTTATTTCTTCAGGCTAACTTCTTAAAACTTCCATGTTCCTTTTTTGTATTACATATTTCAAACAAATGGTACTTAATCATTTGTTGCTCGCCTGATAATATAACTACTACAAAATATTATGTTTTACCAATCGAAATTCTCTGTGATCGATCACTTTGGTAACCATACAAATTATTAACAGACTTTTGAGTCATCAAGATCTACGAAGGAGAAATCTGTCACCAAGACCATACGAAGTTATAAGCGAAGGCATATTCTCTTTGCCGCGTCAGCCATTTTAGCACAGAATTTCTATTAAGCTTTTCATAAGCCACAAAACCTACACAAACACACAATACATTTATGGATGTAGTAGGAGAACAAAAGGGTTTGAAGCAAATAAACTCATGGAAGATGGTTAAGAAAATAGAAGTCACGTTTATTTCTGAAAGGGTTTTAGGTGGCCCAAATATTAGCTTTCTACTTTCTACAGCCTGACATGTATCTTTTGCTCCTTTAGTATTTATAATTTGCCACTGGCCATCATATTTTATACAATTTTATTTATAGCGCAGTAAATATACCATTACTTTTGAATATAAAAAATCTACAAATAAACTCTTTTCATACTTATTGTTAAGTATTGCTGCAATACTTGATATTTAAATTACTAATACAGCATCATCATCATCATTAATGTCCCCATTGCTGGCGTTACGAAAATGGCACGAGTCTTTGATGAACGAACAGATTATCCATCTCAAAAAAAAAAATCAATCATGTCATAACAAATGCACACAAAAGATTAAAACATTTGTTAGGTGTTATTAACAAAAAAGGTTAAGCGGTCGTTGTTCCATAAAAAATAAACAAAAAATATATCACCTTGATGCCATTATTGCTGTTGACAAACCACCGTGGTTTAGTTTCTTCAATGCCACATTTTTTTTAATTCTCTGCAGCTTCAGATTCAGTTTTTGTTTTGAGAGTTGTGGATTGTTTTTTTTATACAGCATTGTATCACTCTGTGGCCACAATGATTATGCTCGTTGTATCCGAAAACTATAAACATAATATCCGCGAGACAAATAATAAAGAATGCATTTTGTTAATGTCTAGGTATGCTTATTCATTGTTAGACGTACCTAGAATTCTGTTGATAAGAAGCAAAAGACATAAGACGACGACCAGGAAGAAGAAAGGATGTAACGGGTTTTCTACTCGAATTGAAGCGCTCCTCTGAAGAAGTAATTTTCATTAGAAGGCAGAAAACTATTTTTATCAGGGAGTATGCGACTAAATTTATCCTGCTGTAAGTAGGTAAAGTTAGCCCAGCTCCATATGATAGGAGAGTTCCATTCAGATCGATAAGGTATATACGGGTGAAGGGAATGTCACGTTTTTGCTGCATCGGCTACTTTGGTTATAAAGCTTTTTCTGACGTTTTAAATCCTCCACCGGCTCCGTCATCATAATCTTGCAAAGGGATTCGAAATGTCAGGAATAACAAAAGATATAATTTAAGAAAAAAATATTTCCCACACTTATTAGCCTAGCTACAAAGCAAGCATTGTAAAACTTTTGTTATGGAATGCTAGATAACGGATGGCATACGTATACTGATACATATTTAAGTATAATTTATCCTGAAATATCTATGAACATTCATGACTAAGGTGCAAATATTCATCATACTAACATTTGACCCCAGTGAGTTTCGAATCCGGGACCTCTGAGTGGTGACACCTCGAAACCTTGCGTGGCTGAGTGCTATATTCAACCACGGAGTTCAAAATCGAAAATGGAAGTAAGGTCCTTTTGCAGCAGATTGGCTTATCTCAATTCAATTAAAAGTAGCTTGGGATATCTATGGGATATAGAAAAATTTCAAAACGTCAATGTCAATTTGACGTAATTGTATTAGATGAATCTAGTCTACCTATATGTTGTAACGTACCGGAAAAAAGCAACACAAAAAAAATATCCGGTTCATGTTTTGGAAGTCATACACTATATGCGTACCAATTTTCCAAACTTTTTTTAGTAGCATACACACAGCTTGGTCGCAGATGACCTTTATAGCGTCACCGACCGGGTTTGGGAACGGCGAGATCCTAAGGGGACCTCAAGCCGAGAATTGGCGAGTGCCTCTAGAGGTATTCCAGGCGGATGGCATCTCCCCACGGGGTGAGTCTCCTCTCCGTCTGGAGCTTCTACACCACTCGAACCTGAGGGAGTGAATCAAACAAACTATCACATTTGATGCCATGAGAACCATAGTGGCCTAACTCATTTTTCTACAGTATTGAGTTTATGATTTTTTCCAGTTCAAATCGATCATTTTAATAGAACCAGAGTGGTCTAAAAGTGATACAACGAATATTCGCTAGATGGCAGTATAATCACTGTTACAGTTTTTAGTCTATGATCTAAATTTGAGGTGCCATATTGTCCTAAGTAAGATAGGTCACTATGGTTAAAAAATGAGTTAAGCCACTATGGTTCTCGTGGCCTCATTTATAACATTACCCCACCAAATCCAAGTGTTAGTGGTGTCCAGTTGTAGGAAAAACTGATGTGGCAGAAAAGTGTGCTGCTTCAGGTATCCTCGGACGGCTTGAACATGAACTCACAATTTACTCAACTCTGTGGTGCTATTCTGTAAGAACAAATACGCTTTTCACTTCGAAATCTGCTGTATGATTTAAATTTAGAACTTATTAAATAAATTTCGAATCACACCGGTCGAATTCTCATCCGCAATTTTCAGCATTAACTACTGTTGTACCTATCAGACGGTATTTACCAATGCGTGATAGCATTAGTTTTTTAAATACCTATTTCTCAAATGTCACTCAGCTCGCGTCCGCTCTTAAGAAATTTTATACACGGGTTTCTACTAATTACTTCTAAGCATATATACTAATAGAAATAGCTTAGCTATACTTGGTCCCCCTTACTCATAAATGAGGAAGAAACTAAGACTAGTTACGCCGTGTTTTGTTTATATCCCTACAATGCCATTTGTCATTCAATGACGATTAAAGCAAATTGTTACTTGTAGGCTTTGATTATAATCAAAGCTTTGTAGGTATTTATTTTTATTTTAAGGTAATCGTGTCACAATTGTAATAAAATGTGTTCTTTTCTTCCTATAACTCGGTTTAAAGGACAATGGCGAAATATTTGTTGAAGTAAATCTTTAGCGTCTATAGATGTCATTACCAGAAATGTTAATAAAATAATCTCAAAAGATTTATTAAACAATTCAGGAGGGTTGTCTAAGTCTGGAATTAAAAACTTAAATAAGGGAAACACAATTGACTATTTATTTTTCATTTTTATTGGGGCTTGGCATCATGGCTTTTGAGCCATTTATTTTAAGTGATTTTAGTGATGAAATCAACTTTAAATATGTTATTCGTATGTTTTGCATCGCTTTACGCTTAAACTGTATTTAATAGGCTAGTTGACTCATGTCGAATTGTATTGAATAAATGTTTATTTCTTAAAGTATTTGGTCTAAGGAACCTAAATATATCGATTTCACTTCATAAAAGCAGAAGATTGCCGTAGAAATTTAATTTAAAAAATATATTTTTAGTCTATATATTTTAAACACTAAAAACGCTGTTCGCCACATCCGCCATGATTGTGACGTCTCTTTTAGTAAACAACTAAATGTCATTCATACATAACTTTAAAACTTGTATTATTAAAACTGATAATAAATGAAGAGACTTAAAATATTATTCAATGAGTACTTACATCAAAGTGATCTTCGCAAAAATAAATTTTACTATGAGTCGATAAAGCAAGCAAGTTCTAACCAGGTATTGCGTAGGTTAATTTTTTTCGGCACTTTAATCCACAACTTTCCTGGAGTCTTCAAGGTTCTTACATTCTCGTACAATACAATAATGATAATTACTATATTTTTCGTGGTATCTATTAGAAATCATGTTTATTTTATTATTATAAACTCAGATAGGTTATTTTCTACGTGCTTACGAGTTTTTATTTACTACCGTCAACGTCATAGCATAGATAATCTATAGACTAAAATGGCCGACAGCGGTTTTGTATGTCCATGAAAAGTCTATTTTAAAATTAAAGATTTGTAACTTTCTAGGTCTCAAAAAAATACAATACATTTTTTTTCGGTCTAATAGAACATTTATTAACCATTTAAA